TCCCAATCCCATCCCCTGCAGCGCCCGTGGGATCACAGGATTTGGGGATGCGGCCCCCACCCCAATCCCAACCGCAATCCCAGCCTCGGGGGCGGCTGCCCCATCCCTGAACTCGCCGGGTGCGTTCGGGGAGGGTCGGGGGGAGCTGCAGCCCGGGGAGGTGACCTTGGGGACAGCCGGGATGTGCGGCACACCCGGCACGGCCCCCGCGCCACGGCCGGTACCTTGTGACTGCTCCTGCCGGAGCTGCGGCGCTTTCTGGGCAAGGGCTTCTATTTTGGGCAGAATGTTTTCACTTGGCCTATATTAAGCACATTCATTTCGCAGTCACAAGGCAGCGCAGAGCGGTGCAGGAGCCGCTTCTCCTCCGGCGGCAGCTCCGCAGCCTGGCAGCTCCCCCGACCCCAGCGGTGCTGGCACAGCCCAGCCCAGCCCAGCCCGCTCCTCTCCGGGCGCTGCCCGATCCAATCCCGTTCCCATCCCTCCGTCCCCACAGCGCTGAGCCGCTCTGTATCTTCCCGGCTGGAATTCCTGCGTTAAGCACGGCCCGCTCCCGGCTCCCGGAGACGGGAAAAGCCGCCGGGAATTGCCGCAACACCGACACGCGACCTCAGCTCGGAGGGAAAGCGTTGAGAAACCCTCAGGTGTGACCTCTGCCAACCTCGCCGCGCTCCCCGGGGATGCTGTGTGGGCGCAGGGATGGGGATGGAAGCATTTCCACCTTTTCCCTCCCACTCTCCTGGGCACCGCGGCCTTGGAAAGGAGATTAATCTCTGCCCCGTGCCTCGTGGACGCTCTTAATTGTGATTACAGCCCTTCAGGGATGACAGCAAAAAAATAAACAAACACCTCTTCCAGGTGCCACGGCCCGGCTGGATGAGGCTCGTGGGAAAGCCCTGGGGCAGCGGGATAATGAGGAGCCGCGATGAGGAAGGAGCATCCTCTGCTCTGACTCAGCTCGGGCTCAGCCTGCTCCCACGAGCTGGGACGGACTGCGAGGGTCCCGCTGCCCACCCTGCTGCTCCCCCGTGCCAGCTGGGCACCGGGACCCGCGTGGAATCCCGGCCGGCTGGGCTATAACAGCAGTGCTCCACACTCAGCCTCCACGAGGCTCTGCCCTTCAGCCCCTGGTTTGTTTTCTCCCTCTTCCCGAGGCTCTCCGCAGCCTGGGATGAAGGGGAAGCACAACAGGCTTGACGCTTCCCTAAATCCTCCAGGGAGATCCTGGAGGTGGAACAGTTAAATTGGTTCAAATCCCCCATGTTGATGCACTTACACCAGATTAACCTTTTCATCAATAGGCTCCCAAATCACTCCGAACTGGCTTAACCCTTCCCTGGATGGGCTTAACTGGTTTGCAGGAGGGGCTGGTAGAGCTTTAACGAGCTCAAAGCCGTGGCACTTTCCTGGGAAGCCCTGAGCCCACTCATGATCCCCCAAAACCAGTCTGGGGGCTGGAAGGAGGTGAGGGCACTTCCCATATTTGGGGGGAACCCTTCAGCGTGGGCATCTTTTCCAGAACACCTTCCAACTTCTCCCCTGCCCAGGTGGGTTTTTTTTTCGCAGCCCCGTGGCTCTGAAGGGGACCCCAAAATCTCCCCTATGTACAGTTCCTCACAGTGGCAGGGTCACAGAGCCGCTGCCTTTACACCCCCCAAAAACCCCTGAGGTGCAAAGCGACAGAAAACAGCCTGGGGTCCCCAGCACGGCCAGCCAGGCCCCCCTTTTCCACCGACCAGTGCCCCTCTTTGCATTACCAGTATCCCCAGTCCCAGGGCAGGGCTGAGCCTGCGCCCGGCCGGCTCTGGCAGAGTCCCAGGGCTGAGCCTGGAGCCAGCGAGGGCCGAGATCCCCCCAGGGTGATCATTTGGGAGCAGTTTGGGCGAGATTAGGACCATTTGCAGATGCTCCAAGACGCGGCTGCAAACCCACCCTTGCTCCGGGCGGGGAACGTTTCCCTTGCTCTGTGACCCAGCAAAACCAGACGCTTTTTAGTACCTCCCACCAAATTAGGCGGAAAATCCCCCCGAGTTCCTTCCCTAATGCAGGGAGTGAGGCCAGAACACCCCGGAGGTGCGAGAGAGGCCGGCGGCACCCCGGGGTGCAGGCGAGCGCTGCGCTGGCCCCGTGTGTGCCGGGCTGCACGTTCCTGCTCTTATCAAATCCATCGGGATCAGCTCCAGCGGCTGCCAGCGCTCTGCAGCGAGGGGAGCAGCCCGAGAGGAGCGCGTTCAAGGGGCTCCTCCCGCTCCATAATCCCATTATCCCGTGGCGCTGCCCGTAATGCCGTCGCCTCCCTCCTTTCCCACGGAGTCACCGCTCGGTCCCACTGAGTCACGCCCGTGCCTCCTTTCCGTGGCCCGTGGCCATTTCCCCGGTGCCTCGGTTCCCATTGACTCACCCATCCCATTCAGAGCTCACCGTCTCTTTTTCCAGTTCCCATCCCGGGCATTTCTGGTCACTCGGACTCGCCTGGGATCTGCCTTCCTTCCCTGAATCCCTGAGGAGCATCCCGGAGCGGGACCCCCAGGCTGGGCAGCTCCTAAAATCACGTTCCAACCTGTGCAGAAGTGCTATCCCCAGGCCTCGAGGCTGCAGGGAGCTTCCTTTTCCAGGAGCAAAGGATTCTCCCCATTTTTCACCCTGCCTGGCATCTTCTGCTGTGTTGGGTTTTTTTGTTTGTTTGTTTGTTTGTTTGTTTCCCCCACAGATCATGAGAAAATTAAAAGCTTTGCAGAATTTAGATGCAATCAGTGCCTCAAACATATTCTTTCACACTTCCATCCCTTCCTCCATCGTGGAACCATCCCATGGGTCGTTTTCTCCAGCTGTAGTAGAGGAAACATTTAGGAACGAGTCTGAAAGACTTGGGAACTGCATGGAAATGGGAATTATTTTTTTTTTGGGGGGGTGATCAGGGAGACGCGTGCCGGCGCACCCAGAGCCGGCCCGAGTGGAAAATTCCTGTCGGTTGAGCTGGGATTGCGGTCCAACAGGTTTTTAGTCCCAGCCCCTTGAGTTGTGTCAGTGCAAAAACTCATCCCTAGGGCATTTGTTTGGATCACATGGGCGAGCGTATAAAAATGGGTGCTGCGTGTCCGGGCTAACTTGCCCCTGGAAAGAGAAGGCGGCTGCTGGAGCGGAGGGAAGAGCCGCGGGACGGAGCGGAGCCGCTGCGCTCAGGTAACCGCGCCCGCAGCGAATCGTGCCCCACTTCCACGGGCCCACGGAGAGGCTCAGGGATTCTCCGCCGGCAATTCGTGGGGGAATGCAGGGCTCCTGAGAGTTGGGCAATGGGGGAATTGTGCGGGGGAAGGGCTGGGTCCTGCCCTAGGAACAGCTCCGAGCGCCCCCGAGGCTTTTCCCGGTGCCCGGGGGGATGCAGCCCCTGCGGAGCGGGGAGCGGGCGGCGTTCGCAGCTCCTCCTTCTCTCACCACCCCTTGGAGCTGTCGAGAATTGGGGTGCGGGGCCTGTGGGGTGCCTCGGTGGCCCTCAGGGCAGGGAAGAGGCTGCTCAGGCAGAGCCATGTGCGAGGAGACGCCGAGATGTGCGGGCAGAGAGTTTTCCAGCAGGGAATTTGGCCCCGCTTTCCCCCGGGAAGGGGAATTAAAACCGCGGATAAAGCCGGCGGCGCTCCCCGTGCGCTGCTCGCTGCTTC